GATTCCGAGCTCCCATTGACATGGAGGAGCGAGCGGATTTCGCAATAATACAATGCGTCCTACTTTCGCAAGATTTTGTACAGTTCGCCATTTTGGTCATTGATGTAGAGTTTGTAAATAGTCGTTAGATCATTTTCGTCAAAAGACGAATTGCAATCGCTGAATCAATTGCCATCGAGATAGGAGCGCTTCCTTCTCTCAAAAAGCGTCGGAGATGGTACGTTTGTCAACGCGGTGCCGATCAGGAAATGAGCAAGCGTTAAAGCAGAATAGTCTTCATAATCATCCGAAAATGGAGCAAGAGGACGCGAATTTAAGCAGGCTTCTATTTTGCAAAGCAACGTGATCATTTCTTCGAAAGTGAGCGTGTAATTTCCTACAATCCGTTGTTGTAGCCAGATCTACAACTAATAATAAAAGTAGTCCGCATGAAATTCGGAAAAAGTCTTTCGAAAGACCGCAGAAATACATCGCGCGAGAACATTGCGAACATTTGCGAAAAGTCTATCAGCAAATTCCTCAATTGCTGAGCAATCAATATCACGCGATCAATCGACGCAACCGATCAGAATGCTGATCGGGCATCGATCAGTCTATATAATCGATCATACAAGGCAGAGTCAAATCGAAAGAGTCAAATACTACGTGTCGTTCGGAATCGGACTTATAATAATCACACGAGATATTACCGAATCTCGTAGCGAAGTTCCCGCGAGCCGTACTATCGGCATCTCAGGTGACATATTCGGTCGTTGGCCGCCAGAGTAATACGCGATACGCACCGAGTCACCTGACGACGTTTAACCGTGTGTAAAATATAATCGTTAATATATCAAGCATCTGTGCACTTGTAAGAATAAATCAATTAAAATAAAGAAAGTATAAATGAATTCAAGAAGATCCCTACATTTTTTTGATCCTGCTCGGAGTCCCAACGCCTTAAGCTTAATAAACCCGACTATCCCTAATATTAACGTTGTAGCCCATTTGGGGTACAATATCGTTTTAAATGAAACTTGACGCTACGCACTTCGGCTTCCCATAGTCCTCCGAAATGAGAAGCTGACGAGAGAATAAACTTTCATCGTACCGATTTGAAAGCTTAACTTGTTAAGTACGCGAGGATCGGATTGAGTGGCCTTCCACATGCTCAGAAGCTCCTGATCGGCTCCTCGAAAGTTTTTTGCATTATCTGAATGTAGGCATGACGGGATGCCTCGGCGAGCGCAGAATCGACTATATGCGACTAAGAACACATCCGTAGAATAATCGCTGACAAGCTCTAAATGAATAGCTCGGACAGTCATACATATAAACAGCGCAATGTACGCTTTTCGTGCTTTATATCCTTGTCCCGCGGAGGGACGAACGAGAATGGGTCCGGCATAATTTACTCCGCAATGCAGGAATGCACAAGCACTCTTCAGAACGCATATCGGGCAGATCTCCCATAAGTTCATGCAAGTTATCCGAAGTACGCGGAGAGTGATTTGCGATGAATTTTGGATTCTTCGCGCTCGTCAAACGGTTAAATCAATTATACACGGGTGCGTAAGATGTGCGCGCGAAAGGACTGATAACTCGCATGAACTTATGGGAGATCTGCCCGATATGCGCGTTCGGAAGAGTGCTCGTGCATTCCTGCATTGCGGAGTAAATTATGCCGGATCCATTCTCGTTCGTCCCTCCGCGGAACAAGGATATAAAGCACAAAAAGCGTACATTGCGCTGTTTATATGTATGACTGTCCGAGCTATTCATTTAGAGCTTGTCCTCGATTATTCTACGGATGTGTTCTTAGTCGCATATAGTCGATTCTGCGCTCGCCGAGGCATCCCATCATGCCTACATTCAGATAATGCGAAAAACTTTCCTGCATGAAGAGTTCGGAGATGCGCGTGCTGAATGAGAAGTGAGAGTAGAGAATGTCGCCCGAGAATAATCAGATGTTTTGCCTCATCCGGGAGCTTTGAGTGACGGAGTCGTCCTCCGACTCGAATCAAACCGTATTGGTCGAGAAAGAGATTAAGATTTAAGAGCTTACTGTTATTAGCGACCCGACTTTTCGCCTTTAGTTCTTGGATGTCGTGAAGAAATGTGCGAGATTGCATCGACATCAAAAACGTTTGGCGTTGGTCACTTCGGATTGATCTAATACTGTTGGAGTCAAAACGTAGAGATCCGGAGGAGAGACGGAATGCTTAAAGTTCCTTACCTTGAGCATGTTGACAAAATGGAAAATATACGATGTGATGCGAATTAATTTTGGTTATGATGAGAATCGTTGAACAAGATCCAATTCATCTTGAGTGTTACAAGACTGACAAGATGAGACTTGGCCTCGAACGAAAAGTTCAGAGGAAGAATAACATCAGTTTGAGGCCATTGAGCACTCGGTAATTTAAGCCATTCTGAACCTTTCCACTAGTCAGGCTTATTGAGCAGACTTTGTACGGGAATGCCTCGCGACGCGTAGTCAGCTGGATTCTCTTGAGTTGGCACATAATGCCATTGAGAGTTCGGAACCTTAGATTATATTTCATCAACTCGATTCGCTACGAATGTTTTCAATTCGATGGATGTTGTCTTATCCAAGCTAGAATGACGGTGGAATCTGTCCAACAATGACATGGAATGTCGGTTAAGTTAAGAGATTCTCGAACATAAAAAATCATACGGGCCAAGAGAACGGCATTAATTCCAATCGACGAATATTTAGACTTTTCAAGGGAGCGACTTGAGATTTCGTCATTAATAAAGAAACTTGGCGATCACCTAGAAAAGAGTCGACCTTGAAATAGATCACGACTGCATAAGCAGACGTGGAGGCGTTCGAAAAATCGTGCAGCTCACAGTATTGTGTGTCATGACCTTTTCCGATCCAGCGATGAATTTCGAGAGAATTGAGAAGTTCGAGAGAACGATAATATGCAGTCATACAAATATCCATGAAGGATATCAGAAAGAACTGCATCATCTCAGAGAACCTTTGCACGCTATAAGCGCTGCATCAGAATCTTTGCAGATTATGATGGGAGTTAGCCATCCCATTGGATCAAACAATTTCGAGATAGCAGAGAGAATTGTGCGTTTGGTTAATGGCAGCGAGTTAGATAAGGTTACATTGAATTGAAAGACATCACACAGTAGATGCCATTTGAGTCCTAAAACTTGGAACTGATCATCGGACTCCAAAGATTTACTTTGAGATAGGCTATGGTCACTCGGATCGATATCTTGGAGAAGATCAAGACAATTGCTGGACCACTTTCGCGGATTGAATCCAGCGAGATTTAATAATTTCATCAATTGATCGCGCATTTGTTTGGCCATAGGTTTATCATCTGCTCCGAAGATGCAATCGTCGACATAAACATTATGCTGAAGAACAGATTGAGCGAGAACGATTGAGCGGAAATGAGGCGCCATCGATTAAGGTTAATTGTTTAGAACGCTAGATATGGAGCGCATGCGGTTCTATATGTGATAGTGAATAACCGATAGGCTTGAACGTTTTGGGACGAATCTGATCGCCACAAAATTCTTTGGAAATCAACATCTCGTTCGTCGATGATAATTTGACAGTACATTTTAGCAATGTCAGTATAGACATAGCGATACTGACGCCAACGAAGAATGATAATGGTCAGATCGGTTTGCAATCTGGGCCCAACTAAGAGATGATCATTTAACGAAAATCCGTTCGACGTGCGGCTTGATGCATTGAACATCACTTGAAGACGCGTTGTAGTGCTGCTATTGCGAATAACTGCATGATGAGGAATGTAAAAGATCTGTGAGCGAGAGGTTTCCGTATCGCTGACAGGAACTATGTGACTTAGCTTTCATATTCGCTCATGAAAGCACTGTATTCCTTTGCCACGTCAAGCTGAATTTCAAATTGCCGTTCGAATAGAAAAAGACATGAAGAGTGAGAATCTCCTAAATAAGAAGGGAGGGTGTGCGTCCCGACGGGGTCCGACCACGAACCAGTCGTGAAAACTCGTAATTATTTTGCGAAAAAATACCACCTCAGCCAGGAATCGAATCTGGATCTCCTGCTTACCGGGCAGGCATCTTATCCTTTCGACTACCGAGGCATATGATGATATTTATCGCAAATAACGTTTAGAATACGTTTAGAATAACACGTCAACAATACAATGATACATATATATATATATATACATATATTACAATATACATATATACATGTTCCGATATTCAATGGAGAAGGCGTCTTGAACGATAATTGAACTATGAATCGACCTTGCTCATTATGAAAGTGAGTTGCGAAAAAGTGATCCTCGCATTGCTTTTCTTCCGGCGTAAGGTTTCCGCGGAAGTTCTTCGACTTCCCAGAAGCGACGAAGCTCCGTATTGAGAGTATGCATTTCTGAATGCACTTAAATGGAAGAAATATGAAAGGAGTTAAGATAAGATGAGACAGGATCTGAGACTATCCAACCGAAAATGGTATTTTGTGCTACAGATTCAAAGAAAAAACGCAATTGTAAACCGGGAAGCAAGACATTTCCATACAAGTCGGCTCCGACTATGACTTCAATCGGAGAGGAGCTTGAGGGATTAGGATCTGCTAGGTCTAGATCGTGAAGATGTGAAAATGAAGAAAGATTGACGTCATGTCGCGGCGCGTATTTGATTAATGACTTGAGAATGATTATGTTGGTGGAGTATACCGGTGGAGTATACCATTACTCGATCGCGAAGATACTTGTATATCGGCACTGTGTCGAGCTGACATTGCAGTGTTTCCGATTCCGGAAATACCAAGATTCGCTCGCGCTTCAAACGCAATCGTTATGCGAGATTTTCACTAAGGTGGCTATTGAATCTTGACCTAAGAGAGCTCGCACTGTAGAACAGCGATCTGTCGCAGAGCCCACCCGAATCCACGCGGTTGCTAAAAAAATTTGAGAATTTGATTTATTTTCGGCAGCCGAACTATTTAAAGCAACAATCAGACTGTCCGTATATCATATATTAGTTAAGAAAAAGTATATTAATCTATGAATCACACAATTATTTGGTAGTAAGTACTGATTTTTCTTGTGCTATCTGACAATAACTTACTGAGCTCTATTATAAAAATAGATTTATTCTTAATTTGCCAGATTATTATAAAAATTAAATATAAATATTCATTTTTCATAAACTGTCTTCTATTTTTGTTGTTTTATAGAAAATAAAATTTCTCTGATTTCCTCATTACTCAATTTTGCAAATCTTTTCTTGTGAGCTCAACAAGAATAAAAAAAATACATTTGACTTTGTACATTTATTCGATTTTTATATCAAAATATTAAGATTTCTGATCGCCTTTTAATGGATATTCTGGCGACATATACACTACGGGAAATGTAGTTATGGGATCTGATTTTCCCAATGGTTCATAACCGTTCACTAGATTTTCTCGTAATTCCCAACGACGCTTCTCTCTTTCTGTCTTTTGACGCCTAATAGCTCGACCGAGCATACATGCGAACATAATTCCCGTTAACTGAATTAGGGCGATCGCTACGGCTCCTGTGCCAATGTATAGTACGCTGCGATGAATAATAATAGAAAGGCGGCTGATACAGCCCTCCTGATATTTTCCATAACAACGTTCTGAAAGTTCAGGTATTTCGTCTGTTAGATATGCATAGCAAGAGTCAGGTACATCCATATGTGTATTATTGAATGGTACGTGATTCCAATCCATATAGCTATTATATCCGCAGCAACGTAACCTAGACTGCATAAAATCGATTGCAAACTTGGCTTCCTCGTTCTTTTCGTATTGATGCATCGTTAAATTGATCTTCTCAGCTAGAAGATCCTTGATACTATCCTGCAGGGCATACGCAGCAATGGCGGCGGCAAGTTCCAATAGCAATACAAATGACAGTAAAACAGCAAACACAAGAACCATGCAAGTGCTTTCCCTGAGTGCACCACAACATCCCATAAAGGCAATTATGAAGATAAGTATTCCAACCACAATCAAAAGTGTGGCTGGTGAGAAATAACTCGGATCCAGAAAATGCGAGAAGTTTTCATAAACAGCATAGATCGTCGTACCAACCGATATTATCATCACTCCTGTCAACACGAAGAGAGAGTTGACCGCGCAGAGCAGGTACTTGATGCAGCGGAGGCCGACGTCTAGATGCGTGACCGCCATTTTGCCTCGCGTTGGCTCCTGCCGGGCGCAGATGGTAGTTTCACGAGCGACTTTGCGCGCACCTTCGCACTTCCAGCTAGCACACCGATTGCCCGGTTTTTCGGTTTAAATTTGAAACAATAGAGTTAGCTTCAAAGTTAACGTAGTTGGGTGAGATGAATTCTCGACGGATGCTGGTTGACTCGTGCAAAAGATATGATGCTTCTGTTGACAATGATGACACAAGAATTTACTCGTACATTTCGATTTTGTATATTTCGCGCTAAGATAATTGAAGCAACAGTGAAATTCCTTTACAAGGTCGCAACGCTGAGTTACTGTTTTGCTTTTGAATTTAGAACACACAAATAAGAAATGATTCTGTTGACATATGGGACACTGAACATGAGTCGTGTTCGCTGCATGACTTTGAACGAATATTTTCTTTGTTTTTTTCCCGCTAATCGAAGATTCTGGAAATATGTTTTCTAATGCGCGAATGCGAGCCGCGAGAAATTAATCTAACTGCTTGTAAAATGGATATTCGGTTTCATATCCGAGATGAAGTTCCCATGCTTTTCGCGTAGATTTATCTAATTTCGAAGTAATGAAATAAACTAGCCAATGATCTCAGATGTCGTGACAGTTTAGTGAGGCAAGAGCCTGTATCGCGGTATTCGTTTTGTCTCGCAAGATTGATAATTCCGATGGAGATTCGGAATTTGCGGGCAATAATTTATGTATCAAATGTAAATGTTCATGTATTAAATGCCGAGGATTATCGTATCGAGATACAAGCAAATGCCAAGCAATCTTAAAATTAGCGTCGGTAATAGCGAGCTTTTTTGAGCAAATCTTGAGCTAAACTCTTGACAAGAGATATTGTAATCGCGCGACATCCGACAATTCACTGTTCGTTATAATAAGTGCATTGAAATGATTCCGAAAAGCTTCCCATTGGTGATATTCACCCGAAAATTTCGAAAGATTAATACACGGTAACTTACAAACAGATATAGAAGAGAAATTAAACTGTCCTTGGCATCGCATTTCCAGAGGCATTTGGTGATGGACTCTGTGACTCAAGAGCAGGATGTCGGCCATGTAGTCGGATGCTTCGTATAGGTGTCCTCACAGGATGAGAATTGGTCATCCGTGAAGTACTTCTCCGAAATGGTAAATTCCTTGCCCGCTTTGGCAATCTGAGCGTGGATTTGCTCACAACGTGCAAATTGATCCTTTAGCGCGTTGAATCTATGACGCATAAGTTCGACCGTGTAATTAGATTTGCCAATTTTTTTGAAATTGTCTAATGCGCGTCCGATACGCATAATTACACGTTGTTGTGCTAGTAAATCCTCCATTTTGACTGAGAACTCACTCATTTTATAATTCACTGACTTAAGCTACTCAAGTTCTTCTTGAGTCTAATGTGACTAGAGGTCATACAACAATGTTTCTTCGTCGATGCACAAGTGACCTAGCGATCCGGCTCGAAGGACCAGAAATTCTATGTGCGGAATTGAGACGCCGATTGTTGGAACGACCCTTGACTGAGGATCTGATGGATAATAGAATTACGAGAATTCTTGAGACAAATCACACTAATTTAATAAATCAGTTTTTACGAATGAAATGTACAGAATATAGAGTCTGACGGTAGTACATGTTGATAAAATAGAACGGATGTTTGCTCAGGCAGATTGTACGCACAGGATTGAATAGTTCGCACGAATTATGTGGTCACGTGATTAGAGAATGTCCGCAAACTCCTTCACCTTGATCGAACTTAACGAACGACGACGTGTTGCTTCGTCAAGCTGAGATACGCGCACTTGTCACTGAGAATTCGCTCTAAAAATGCTCGCAGTAAATATTCTTGTCAAGTTCGAAGCACTAGAATCTCGATGTAACGAGAGAGAATGTGAACTAGGAATTCGCCACGATTCAAAATGCTTTGCCGAAGTCTTTCACAATGACGATTTATGTAATATATTTTGAGGACTGGTCTCAAAATATCTCAGATATTTTCCGCTTTGAGGACATTCCCATTCCTATATTTTGCGTATACTTTGGGATATTAAATTTATATGATTTTAACTGCATACTGCCATTTAATAAGATGTCGTCAAAGCATATATTGACTATCTTTTTTTTATAATATTTTATATAACTTTTCTTAAGATTAAAAATTGGAAATTTATTATATGACTAATATCAATAATTTTATCATTACTATTACCATATATTGCAGTCTATTTTTTAAACTATTAAAAACAACATATACACACACACACCCACACATCTACACACACACACACACACACACACACACACACACACACTACACACACACACACACACACACACA